GACGTTTCAGGCTCGGACCAACTGGATTTCTGCACTGAACCTGGCAACACAAATGAGAGAGTCACGTGACGCTCGCGCCGCCCTCTGATTGGACAGTTGTTTGTGACAAAAACACCAAATTAGAGCAGAAATATCCCAGAGTGAAACAAAAGAACTGTGGAAACTAGACACAGAACAGAACTTTAACAACGCCTATTTGTCTTTCTTTGTTTTTCTTTGTGTTTTGAGGTCAGTGTGTGACTCAGAGGATTACACACGCACACACACACACACACACACACGCACACACACACACACACACACACACACACACACACACACACACACACGCACACGCACACACACACACACACACGCACACACACACACACACACACACACACACACACACACACACACACACACACACGCACACGCACACACACACACACACACGCACACACACACACACGCACACACACACGCACACACACACACACACACACACACACACACACACACACACTGACCTCACATACAGGGACTCCTCCTCGTGTCCCCAGAAGAAGGTCAGGGAAACACCTCTCCTCTGTCACTCCCTCTCTCTCTCTCTTTCTTTCTTCTCTCTTTCTCTGGGTTGGATTACAGTGTCTTTCTCTCCCTCTCTTCTCTCTTTCTCCTCTCTCCTCTCTTCATCTCTCTCTCCTCTCCTTTCTCTCTCTTTCCCTTTCTCCTTCTCTCTTTCTCCGGGTTGGATTACAGTGTCTTTCTCTCCCTCTCTTCTCTCTTTCTCCTCTCTTCATCTCTCTCTCCTCTCCTTTCTCTCTCTTTCCCTCTCTCCGTCTCTCTTTCTCCAGGATGGATTACAGTGTTTTTCTCTCCATCTCTCTCTTCTCTCCTTCTCTCTTTCTCCGGGTTGAATTACAGTGTCTTTCTCTCCCTCTCTTCTCTCTCACCTCTTTCTCTCCTTCTCCTCCCCCCTTCTCCTCTCCCTCCCTTTCTAACTTTCTCTCCTTCTTTCTTTCTCTCCTTCTCTCTAATCTCTCTCCCTCTCTCCCCCTCTCTTCCTCTCCTTCTCCCTCTCCTTCTCTCTCTCTCTCTCCTCCCTCTTCCTCTCTCCTTCTCTCTTTCTCTTGGTTGGATTACAGTGTCTTTCTCTCCATCTCTCCTCTTCTTTCCCTCACTCCCCTCTCTCTTTCTTTTTTCTTTCTCTCCTTCCCCTTCATTTCTCTCCTTCTCTCCCTCTCTCTCTCCTCTTCTCTCCTCTCTCATCTCTCTCTCCTTCTCTCTTTCTCTTGGTTGGATTACAGTGTCTTTCTCTCCTCTTCTCTCCTCCTTGTCTTTCTCCCTCACTCCTCTCTCTCTCTCTCTCTCTCCTCTCTTTCTCCTCTCTTCATCTCTTTCTCTCTCTCTCTCCCTCTTTCCATCTCTCTTTCTCTGGGTTGAATTACAGTGTCTTTCTCTCCTTCTCCTCCCCCTTTCTCCTTCTGTCTTTCCTCTCTCCTTCTCCCCCTCTCTCTTTCCACACTCTCCCTCTCTCCTCTTTCTCTCCTTTTCTCCTCTGCTCTCTCTTTCCCTCTCTCTCCTCTTTCCTTCTCTCTCTCCTCTATTCCTCTCTCTCTTCTCTCCCTCTCTCTTTCTCTGGATTAGATTATAGTGTCTTTTCTCTCCCTCTCTTCTCTCTCACCCCTTTTCTCTCTCTCCTCTCCCTTTGTCCCTCTCTCTTTTTCTCTCCTTCATTTCTCTTTCTTTCTCTTTTTGTCCTTCTCCCTCTCTTTGTTGCTCCTTTTCTCTCTCTGCCCTTTTCTCCTTCTCTCCTTCTCCTTCTCTCCTTCACTCTCTCCTTCACTCTTTCTTTCTTTCTCTCCGTCTGTTCGTGTGTGTTTCTCTCTGACGTGTCACATGACCTCACTTGTATAATTACTGCATTATTCAGAGTACTCTCACGCAGTCGCAGTACTTTGGTGTGTACTCTCTCACATACCTGTGTAATCGCAGTATAATTACACACAGACTGACAGGGGCGGTCCTGTCTCTGGGCTTTAAAGCTGCATTATGTCATTTTTCTGGTTGAGTCTGTCACATTTTTGCCTCATGACGGTTTGACCTGAGCTGGAATGTTTCACAATACGACTTTAACTCCTCATGACCTCAGGGAACTTTGACCACGTTTGACCTCCACGGGATTTTATTTTTTTATTTTTTGTGTTTTAAAACTTCAAATTTTAACCCTAATGAAGAATTACACGTTCTTTTTTCATGACAGTCGGTCGCTGGAGTCGAGTCATGTGCTGGAATAAAAAATAAATAAAAATACACGACCAGAAATACACATGAAATAAAAAACAAAAAACTCACACACTTTCATACAAAACACACAAACATGAAAAAAAACAAAAACAAACAAATAAAAAAAACACACACACTTTCATACAAAACACACAAACATGAAAAACAAACAAACAAACAAACAAACAAAAAAAAAAAAAAACACTTTCATACAAAACACACACAAACATGAAAAAAAAACAAACAAAAAAAACAAAAAAAAACAAACAAAAAACACACACACTTTCATACAAAACACACAAACATGAAAAAACAAACAAACAAACAAACAAACAAAAAAAACACTTTCATACAAAACACACACAAACATAAATAACTTTCTGGATGGAACAATGGTGAGATGTGGCACACTCAGGTCACCGGTCACACTCAGGTCATCGGTCACACTCAGGTCACCGGTCACACTCAGGTCGTCGGTCACACTCAGGTCACCGGTCACACTCAGGTCGTCGGTCACACTCAGGTCACCGGTCACACTCAGGTCGTCGGTCACACTCAGGTCACCGGTCACACTAAGGTCGTCTGTCACACTCAGGTCACGGGTCACACTCAGGTCGTCTGTCACACTCAGGTCGTCAGTCACACTCAGGTCGTCACACTCAGGTCGTCTGTCACACTCAGGTCGTCAGTCACACTCAGGTCGTCAGTCACACAGTCGGTCACACTCAGGTCGTCAGTCACACTCAGGTCGTCTGTCACACTCAGGTCGTCAGTCACACTCAGGTCGTCTGTCACACTCAGGTCGTCTGTCACACTCAGGTCACGGGTCACACTCAGGTCATCGGTCACACTCAGGTCGTCTGTCACACTCAGGTCACGGGTCACACTCTGCACCAGTATTTACCGTGTGTGTGTGATCATGTTTTCCTTGAATCTTGAGGACTCAGGTGACGTTTACATAATTTCGAATCTGAACTTGCAGATCGAGTCTTCGTGTCCGTGGATCCGGTCGTCGAGACTCGTACCTTCGACTGCAGCACAGATTCCTCTGCACCGGCCCCTTGTGGATCCTCCAGCGGGCGGCAGGTCCACAGGAGGTCAGCCTCAGGTCGTTCCTTTGACCTGAGCCCGACCGGACCCCGTGAGGAAAGACCAGACCACCAGACCTGAGGTGAGAGCTCGATGGCGAGGTGTGGTCCTGGTGACGCTGATCTGAGCGACATCACCGACCTGACTGTGGCTTCTGAACCTCCCTCAGTCTGACTCCAGGTCCTGTTTGTCTCGAGTGACCTGAAGTCCCAACAGAACAGCTCCAGGATCATTCAGACTCAAACCTCCACCGGGTGAAGATGGAGGTTCAGGGAGGAGAACGCCTCAGGGTCCCCCAGAGGAGCTGGAGGAAGTGTCTGGGGTGAGGGAAGTCTGGGAGTCTGTGCTCAGACTGATGCCCCCGAGACCCGACCCCAGAGAAGAAGAAGAACATGGACGATGTTACAGAGCTGATCTCAGATCTGTTCTGATGTTTCTTCTTCACAAAGTTTCTGTTTAAATCACAAACCTGCAGATTCACACTGAACTCACGAAGACGAACGAATAATAAAGAAACAAACACAAATGAAACAAACACAAGTCGAACTCTGTGTGACCAGGAACATCAGAACATCAGAACATCAGAACATCTGAACATCAGAACATCAGAACATCAGAACAGTAGAACATCAGAACATCAGAACATCTGAACATCAGAACATCTGAACATTAGAACAGTAGAACATCAGAACATCTGAACATTAGAACATCTGAACATTAGAACATCAGAACATCAGAACATCAGAACAGTAGAACATCAGAACAGTAGAACATGAGTTGAAGCTCAGACTGGAGTCAGAGTTTTAAAGTTGCAGTTCTGTTACTGTAGTAATAGTAGTACTTGTAGCAGTAGCAGTATAATAATAATAATAATTATTATTATTATTATTAGTAGTAGTAGTAGTAGTAGTAGTAGTAGTAGTAGTAGTAGTAGTAGTAGTAGTAGTAGTAGTAGTAGTAGTAGTAGTAGTAGTAGTTAGTAGTAGTAGTAGTAGTAGTAGTAGCAGTAGTAGTAGTAGTAGTAGTAGTAGTAGTAGTAGTAGTAGTAGTAGTAGTAGTAGTAGTAGTAGTAGTAGTAGTAGTAGTAGTAGTAGTAGTAGTAGTAGTAGTAGTAGTAGTAGTAGTAGTAGTAGTAGTAGTAGTAGTAGTAGTAGTAGTAGTAGTAGTAGTAGTAGTTAGTAGTAGTAGTAGTAGTAGCAGTAGTAGTAGCAGTAGTAGTAGTAGTAGTAGTAGTAGTAGTAGTAGTAGTAGTAGTAGTAGTAGTAGTAGTAGTAGTAATAAATCTATTATTATTCTCCTCGTGGCTTTTGTTAAACACTTTCTTTCTTTATTTCATTGATTCTTTTGCGCTTTATTAGTTTGTTGTTATTTTTAGTTTAATCTGCATGTCACGTGTCATTTACATACGTGCGCTCTGACGCCACGCGCCACTGTCACGTTCATTAAAAAATATCTTCCACTTTACGACGCACCAAACGCACCAAAGTCGCACACGCCCTTGATCTCCGCGCGCCCGCGAACGCCTCACGCTGACCTCACGCACACGAGGGGGCGGGGCGGGACAACGGGAGGGGGCGGGGCTTGTCCTCTCGCTCTAAAAACTCCTCTGCGCTCCGCACTCGCGTCACTCGTGTTCTCGGCCCCGTACGCGCTCACGTCCTCACGTCCTCCCCGCGCGTCCTTTTCTGCGGCCCTTCGGATAGAATCATGCCGTCGCTGCGTCACTCGTACACGGTGACGGAGGAGCGACCCGCCGCGGAGCCTCTGGAGCCCGCGGAGAGGAGGAGGAGCCCGGTCCTGTCCCGCACCGCGCTCATCTCCACCTTCAGAGGACTTATCATCAGCCAGAGCAAGGTACGAGCACACGTACACGTACACAGGTACATGCAGACAGGTGCACAGGTACACGCACGGTACACGCAGACAGGTGCACAGGTACACAGGTACACGCAGACAGGTGCATAGTTATACGCAGACAGGTACACAGGTACACGCAGACAGGTGCACAGGTACACGCAGGTACACGCAGACAGGTGCATAGTTCTACGCAGACAGGTGCACAGGTACACGCACGGTACGCACAGGTACGCACGGTCCTGCAGGAAGTGTAGTAAAAGTACTGTGCTTTTACGTATCTGTACTTTACTTGCGTACTTTTGACATTGCATACTTTTTACTTTTACTTCACTTCATTTGAGAAGAGCTGCGTGTACTTTCTACTCCACTCCACTTTTGAACGGGCCTGAAAAGTAAAAGTATTTTGAAGTAGTTTTTTTTGCATGTAATACTTTTACTTTTACTCGAGTATGTCTTTGTGTGTGTACTTTTACCCACGTAACTGCAGTGAGTTACACCTCCAAGAGCTGCGTGTTTGTTTAAAAGTTAATTTTTAAACAAACACTTTGACTTTTATAAATACTTTTACTCGAGTATCTTTGCTCCGGTATCTGTACTTTTTCTTAAGTAACAAAAGTGAGTACTTCTTAAACTGTTGTAAAAAGCGAAAATAAATAAAAACAGTTGCATAAAAAACTAAATTCAGCACAAAACTTTATCAGAGTCTGTAAATTTGAAGTATTAGTAAATCTAAAAATCTGCACGAAAGTACATTTTTAAACTGGTACTTTGATACTTTTGCTCTGGTATCTGTACTTTTACTTACATAACTGAAGTGAGTACTTCTTGCACCACCACCAAGAGCTGCGTGTACTTTCTACTTCACTACATTTTTGAACTGGACTGAAAAGTAAAAGTATTTTGAAACTTGCTGAAAAAAAAAAAATTTTAACTCGTTCATAATATGAGCAAAAATATAGAAATAATAAAAACAGTTTTGCTTCTATTGAACAAAATTCTAAATTATAAATTTGAAGCTTTATTTGCGTCAAATACTTTTTACTCTTTAAGTACATTTTTAAATACTTTTACTCGAGTAACTAAGTTATACAAATAAAAACAGTTGTGGAAAAACAAAATTCAGCACGAAGCTTCATCAGAATCTGTACATCTGAAATACTTTTGACTCTTTAAGTTCATTTTTAAACAAGTACTTTGATACTTTTACTTGTACTCGAGTATGTCTTTGCTCCAGTACCTGTACTTTTACTTACATAACTGAAGTGAGTACTTCTTGCACCGCGGCCAAGAGCTGCGTGTACTTTGTACTCCACTACATTTTTTAACAAGGCTTAAAAGTAAAAGTATTTTGAAATCTGTTGAAAAAGTTTATTTTTAAGTTTTTAATTTATTTTTTAACATAAAAATATAGAAATAATAAAAACGGTTGTGGAAAAAATGCTTCTGTTGAAAACAAAATTCAATAAAGTTGAAGCTTTATTGAATCTCAATCTGCACAAAATAGTTTTTACTCTTGAAGTACATTTTTAAATAGATACTTTTACTGGAGTACTTTTTTTGCATGTGATACTTTTACTTGAGTAGGTCTTTGCTCCAGTATCTGTACTTTTACGTAAAACAAAAGTGAGTACTTCTTCCACTTCTGCAAAGAGCTACGTGTACTTTTTACTCCAGTACATTTACAGTACTGCAAATACTGAAAAGAACAAAATTCAGAATCAATAAATTTGAAGCTTTATTGAATCTCAAAATCTGCATGAAATACTTTTTACTCTTTAAGCAAATTTTTATATAGGTACTTTTACTCGAGTAACAAAATTATACAAATAAAATAATTTGCGGAAAAACAAAATTCAGCACAAAGCTTCATCAGAATCTGTAAAAAACTGAAAAAATGAATCATTATCTGTTTTTTCATTTATTTTGAAAAACAAAAGACACACAGTTCCACATGTCCAAACACACGACTCTTATCTGTGATGGTGTGAAGCAGCTCATCGTGTTCTGTTATGTAAGCACCAGCACGCACCAGCACGGCCTCACTTTTCCAACCTGTTTTCGAGCTCTTTTTCTCAGAAGTGAATTTTCCGTAAACTTTTCCAAACGACTTTTCCAGAAATTCTAAAATTAAAGCTTCTATTACGCAAACTGACCCCTGTGAGCTGCAAGTCGTGTTCTAATGTTTCCTCCTCAAAAAAAACAGAGCTGGACTTGTGTTTGTTTCATTCACACGTTTGAGTCACTCTTTATTATTCGTCTGTTTACATCTGCGAAGCTCTAAATGTTCTGTTCCACCTTATGATGTCATGAAGTGGGAGTGTGGAGCAGAGCGTTTGGAGTTTTGGACACGTAAACCGACTCATAATAAAAAAAGTGACTCAAACGTATGAATGAAAAGTCTGTTTATTGAGGAGGTTTGGACTTGGGAGTCGTGACTTGGACTCGAGTCACGACTTGAATCACTATTTTTTAGGACTTGAGACTCGACTGGATAAAATGGACTAAGACTTGGGACTCGACTTGGACTTGAAGGTCGGTGACTCAGGATTTAACTCGGACTTGAGGCCTGTGACTTGGTTTAGATCTGGTTTTAGTCCTGATTTTAATTCAGGTTTAGTCCTGGTTTAGACCTGGTTTAGACCTAGTTTAGTCCTAGTTTTAGTTCTGGTTTAGACCTGTTTTGGGACTTGACTCGGACTTGAGGCCTGTGACTTGATTTAGACCTGGTTCACACCTGGTTTAGACATAGTTTAGTCCTGGTTTAGTCCTGGTTTAGACCTGGTTTAGACCTAGTTTTAGTCCTGATTTTAGTTCTGCTTTAGACCTGGTTTGGGACTTGACTCAGACTTGAGGCCTGTGACTTGAACAGACTTCAAGCACTTTTAAATCTGAATTCTTTCTATTCTAACTATAATGATTCACTCTAAGATCTTGACAAGACGTAAAAAATAAATAAATAAATAAACAAAACAAATCCATTATTTTTTTAATTACAATTTAGTTTAAAATTCATATAAATTGCAAAAATCGAAGCTGCAATTGGTTCTCTTTAAAGACTTGAAATGACTTGAAGCTCAAAGCAGACGCCATGGACTTGACTCGGACTTGAGGCCTGTGACTTGGTTTAGATCTGGTTTTAGTCCTGATTTTAATTCAGGTTTAGTCCTGATTTTAGTTCTGCTTTAGACCTGGTTTGGGACTTGACTCGGACTTGAAGCCTGTGACTTGAAATGACTTGAAGCTCAAAGCAGATGCCTTGGACTTGACTTGGACTTATGGACCAGTGACTTGAGACTCGACTTGGACTCGACTTGGACTTATGGACCAGTGACTCGAGACTCGACTTGGACTTGTCTGTATTTGACTTGGGACTTGACTCGGACTTGAGGTCAAAGACTTGGTCCCCTTGGTCTGGGAGCAGCAGTAGACCTGGACCTGCAGCTCGGTGCAGGCGTCGGTTTGTGCACCAGACGACCTTTTAAAGTCGTTTTTATCTCGACCTTTTTCTTTCTTTAAAACAAAACGTCCTTCTTCACATTATCGTTACAGATTAGCACATTATCGGTTTATGGCGTCGTTATCGTCACATCCATAGGTGAAACCGCGCAGAGGAGATGACATAACGCGCTCGTAAACACCCCCCCGCGGCCCCTACGCTCACTGACCCACTTACACCTGTCCCCACAAGTCACCTGAGGGGGCGGGGCTTCCACAAAACACACAAAACCAGCTTTAAACGGCGTTTTTGTGTCGTCTCCTCGTCAAACGCTCACGCCCACGCTCGTGTTTCTGCTGCGTCGCTTTGTTTTATTAATCCAAAGTCTAATCCGAGCCTTTAAAAATGCTCAGTGTGCAGATTTTCTACACTGGACTTGTCCGGAATGTTCCACAGTACGGCATTAAACCTTTAGTCCTGGTTTAGTCCTGGTTTAGTCCTGGTTTAGTCCTGGTTTAGTCCTGGTTTAGTCCTGGTTTAGTTCTGGTTCTAGTCCTGGTTCAGTCCTGGTTTAGTCCTGTTGTCGATCTTGTTTCTTTTATGAACTCGTAAAATGTCACAGTTGGGACTCGAGGGGTCAGAGGTCAGAACCACAGAATGTTTCCCTCGTCACAGAAACTCAGATCATGTTTATGGAGTTTAAAGTTCTGGTCAGACTCTGGTGGTCCTAGTGGACTCTGGTCTGGTGGACTCTGGTGGTCCTGGTGGACTCTGGTGGTTCTGGTGGTCCTGGTGGACTCTGGTGGACTCTGGTGGACTCTGGTGGTCCTGGTGGACTCTGGTGGACTCTGGTGGACTCTGGTGGACTCTGGTGGACTCTGGTGGACCTGGTGGACTCTGGTGGACTCTGGTGGTCCTGGTGGACTCTGGTGGACTCTGGTGGACTCTGGTGGACTCTGGTGGACTCTGGTGGTCCTGGTGGACTCTGGTGGACTCTGGTGGTCCTGGTGGACTCTGGTGGTCCTGGTGGACTCTGGTGGACTCTGGTGGTCCTGGTGGACTCTGGTGGTTCTGGTGGACTCTGGTGGACTCTGGTGGACTCTGGTGGACTCTGGTGGTCCTGGTGGACTCTGGTGGACTCTGGTGGACTCTGGTGGACTCTGGTGGACTCTGGTGGACTCTGGTGGACTCTGGTGGACTCTGGTGGTCCTGGTGGACTCTGGTGGACTCTGGTGGACTCTGGTGGACTCTGGTGGACTCTGGTGGACTCTGGTGGACTCTGGTGGACTCTGGTGGACTCTGGTGGACTCTGGTGGACTCTGGTGGACTCTGGTGGTCCTGGTGGACTCTGGTGGACTCTGGTGGTCCTGGTGGACTCTGGTGGACTCTGGTGGACTCTGGTGGACTCTGGTGGACTCTGGTGGACTCTGGTGGACTCTGGTGGACTCTGGTGGACTCTGGTGGACTCTGGGTGGACTCTGGTGGACTCTGGTGGACTCTGGTGGACTCTGGTGGTCCTGGTGGACTCTGGTGGACTCTGGTGGACTCTGGTGGACTCTGGTGGACTCTGGTGGACTCTGGTGGACTCTGGTGGACTCTGGTGGTGGACTCTGGTGGACTCTGGTGGTCCTGGTGGACTCTGGTGGACTCTGGTGGACTCTGGTGGACTCTGGTGGACTCTGGTGGTCCTGGTGGACTCTGGTGGACTCTGGTGGACTCTGGTGGTCCTGGTGGACTCTGGTGGACCTGGTGGACTCTGGTGGTCCTGGTGGACTCTGTCTTATATCTTCAATACTCAGTACAAACTGAAGACAAATGTGTGTTTTTGTGTTTGAACAGAACAAGACTCCTCAGGGCCTGGTGGGACTCAAGAACCTCGGCAACACGGTGAGCGCCTCCTGTCGGGTTTGACTAAATAAATATGTGACATCATCCATATTTATGCCTGTGAATTGTTCAGCTGTTACCATGGCGACACAATGTGCACTTTAGCAAACGCCGGCATAAAAGTTTTAAAATCGTACGTACCAGTTAACGTGAATCATGACGCTCGTGTTTGTTTTTGTGTTTTTGTGTTTCAGTGTTTCATGAACTCGATGGTTCAGTGTCTCAGTAACACGGTGGAGCTCAGAGATTACTGCCTGAGGAGCGCGCACCGCCTGGACCTGTGCAGCCACCGTAGGACCTCGCCCCACGCCCCCGCCCCCGCCCTCATGGAAGGTACCAGAACGATACTAAACGATACTCGATACCGATTCTGATCCCACGATGAAAATAAAACCCCTCTTTTTTTAAACAATATCCAGCAGAACTTTCTTTCCTGTTCCCATGTGGCCTTATATCTGTGTAATCCCTCTGGTCCGGGTCTAAACCGGGTCTAAACCGGGTCTAAACCGGGTCTAAACCGGGTCCAAACCGGGTCCACGGGCATACACTAGTCTCTGTGTCTTATACTTGTTCTGATCCAGCTCCAGATCATTCTAAAGACGCTCTAAAGGTTCTGCTCTGTCCTGGTTTAGTCCTGGTTTAGTCCTGGTTTAGTCCTGGTTTAGTCCTGGTTTAGTCCTGGTTTAGTCCTGGTTTAGTCCTGCTCTGTCCTGAAAATACGACTTTTTAAAAATCCAGACCTGAGGAAAATGAGGATCTAGTTTTGATACGGGTTTTGGGATCGATTAGGTTTTCAATTCTTTTGATAAAACTAATGTGAGACACAAATTCTCTGATTGGACCAAATTTAGACCAAGTTTAGACCAGGTTTTGACTAAGTTTAGACCAAGTTTATACCTGGTTTGGACCTGGTTTAGACCAAGTTTGGACCTGGTTTAGACCAAGTTTGGACCTGGTTTAGACCAAGTTTGGACCAGGTTTAGACCAAGTTTGGACCAGGTTTAGACCAAGTTTGGACCAGGTTTAGACCAAGTTTGGACCTGGTTTAGTCCAATTAAGATCTAGTTTTCGATGCTCTCGACGGCCGTTCTGTCCCTGAGTTTTACCCTGAGTTTAAAAGTTGTGAAAAGTTTTTATGAATTTATCTTCGTGAATAATTTAGAGAATAATCTGAGTCCACGAGGTGAATGAGGAAAAACTTTAGACCACAGACTCAATAAAGACCAGGACTGAATTCCAGTCAAATGAAGCTCATCAGGGTCGGGAGTTACACAAACATTTTAAGACCAAAATGCGTCAGAAGGAGTCGGACGAGCCCACAGACGGTAACGGTCAGAGGTTTTGTTTTTACACGCGTCACTGTGGGGTTAATGTTTGTGTGTGTGTCATGTGTCATGTGTTTGGACCTGGTTGGACCTGTTTTGGACTTGGTTCTGACCTGGTTTGAACCTGGTTTGAACCTGGTTTGGACCTGGTTTGGACCTGGTTTGGACCTGAGATCTTTTTAGGATCCAGACCTGAGAAAAAAATTAGGATTTTGTTTCAATGCAGTTTTTTTTTCCTAATTTCCAATTGTTTTTTTGACAGTTTGTTTTTTTTTTTTTGGACAGAGTTTGTGTTGTTTTTTGACAGAGTTTGTGTTGGTTTTTTTGGACAGAGTTTGTGTTGGTTTTTTTTTGGACAGAGTTTGTGTTGGTTTTTTTGGACAGAGTTTGTGTTGTTTTTTTGGACAGAGTTTGTGTTGTTTTTTGACAGAGTTTGTGTTGTTTTTTGACAGAGTTTGTGTTGTTTTTTTGGACAGAGTTTGTGTTGTTTTTTGGACAGAGTTTGTGTTGTTTTTGACAGAGTTTGTGTTGTTTTTTGACAGAGTTTGTGTTGTTTTTTGGACAGAGTTTGTGTGTTTTTTTTTTTTGACAGAGTTTGTGTTGGGTTTTTTTTGACAGAGTTTGTGTTGGGTTTTTTGACAGAGTTTGTGTTGTTTTTTTGGACAGAGTTTGTGTTGTTTTTTGACAGAGTTTGTGTTGTTTTTTGACAGAGTTTGTGTTGTTTTTTGACAGAGTTTGTGTTGTTTTTTGACAGAGTTTGTGTTGTTTTTTGACAGAGTTTGTGTTGTTTTTTGACAGAGTTTGTGTTGTTTTTCAGAGTTCGCGTCTCTGGTCCAGCGCTTGTGGACTTCGGTCGGTTCAGACTCTCTGAACCCGACAGACTTCAGGAAACAGATCTGTCAGTACGCGCCCAAGTTCGGAGGCTGCAGGTGAGTCCCCAGACATGTGATTTTATACCTTCTTGTTTCCATGGAGACGTCACTGCTCCGTCTGGAATGTTCCACAGTGTGACTTTAAACAGCTCGACTTTACATTTATTCAATCACAGGTGGTTTTAAAACTCAAAAATCCCTCGAAAAACCGACATTCTGACTGTGAGCGGGGTCCCCCCCTCTCCACAGATCTGACCTGTAACTCAGTCTGGTTTGGTCTCCGTGGAGATCGAAAGGCTTAAAGCCACACTGCGAAACTTTCCAGACAAAACAATAACATGTCAAACTTCCACACAAACCCTGCACATTTAGGCGGCTTAGTGCTTCTCTTAAACAACTGCACCTTGTGATGTCATCATGTGGTGATACTGGAGGGATCTAGTTTCGATACTGGTTTTGGGATCGATTTGGCTTTTCGATTCTTTTGACAGAATTAATGTGAGAGACAGGAATTCTCTGATTGGTCCTGTGAGTTGTGGTTTAGACCAAATTTAGTCCAAGTTTGGACCTGGTTTAGACAAAGTTTGGACCTGGTTTAGTCCTAGTTTAGACCTGGTTTAGACCAAATTTAGACCAAGTTTAGACCTAGTTTAGTCCTGGTTTAGACCTGGTTTAGACCAAATTCAGACCAAGTTTGGACACCAAATTTAGACCTAGTTTAGTCCTGGTTTAGTCCTGGTTTAGTCCTGGTTTAGACCTGGTTTACACCAAGTTTGGACCTGGTTTAGTCCTAGTTTAGACCTGACTTAGACCAAATATATACCAAGTTTGGAACTGGTTTAGATCAAGTCTAGACCTAGTTTAGATTTAGTTTAGACCAAGTTTATTCCAAGTTTGGAGACCAAGTTTGGAGACCAAGTTTAGACCTAGTTTAGACCTAGTTTAGACCAAGTTTAGACCAAGTTTAGACCTAGTTTAGACCTGGTTTAGTCCTGGTTTTCTTTTTCTTAAACCTCTGGGTGTGTTTAGTAGGGAGCAGTGTTAGAACATGACTTGAAGCTCTCAGGAGTCGGTTTGACGTCACCTCAGACTTTAACCCTCGCGTCTGTTGTGTTTGTGTTTGTCCAGTCAGCAGGACGCTCAGGAGTTCCTGCGCTTCCTGTTGGACGGTCTCCACGGCGACGTGAACCGGGCGACGCAGCACCCACGGGCGTCAGCGCAGGACTTTGACCACCTCCCGTAAGTCCAGCTCCGGCTCAGCGCTCTCCCCCAATGAGTGAACCATTCTGTTTAGCTCAGGTCGCACTCGGGTCGCACTCGGGTCGCACGTCACACTCAGGTCACACGTCACACTCAGGTCACACGTCGCACTCTGGTCGCACTCTGGTCGCACTCTGGTCGCACTCTGGTCGCACTCTGGTCACATTCAGGTTGCACGTCACACTCAGGTCACACGTCACACTCAGGTCGCACTCTGGTCACGTTCAGGTCACATTCAGGTTGCACGTCCCACTCAGGTCCCACTCGGGTCGCACTCGGGTCACACTTAGGTCACACGTCACACTCTGGTCGCACTCTGGTCACGTTCAGGTCACGTTCAGGTCACATTCAGGTCGCACTCAGGTCCCACTCGGGTCGCACTCGGGTCACACTTGGGTCACACGTCACACTCAGGTCACACTCTGGTCACACTCGGGTCACGTTCAGGTCACATTCAGGTCACACTCGGGTCGCACGTCACACTCGGGTCGCACGTCACACTCAGGTCGCACGTCACACTCAGGTCACACTCACGTCGCTCTAGGGTCACACTCAAGTCACACTTAAGTCACACTCAGGTCACAGTCAGGTCGCACTCAGTAAATAAATAAAATAGTAAAAAGAGCGTGTTGCCGAGGATTGACAAATTAGTCAAAAACTGTGATAGTCCTAGTTTAGTCCTGGTTTAGTCCTGGTTTAGTCCTGTTTAGTCCTGGTTTAGTCCTGGTTTAGTCCTGGTTTAGTCCTGGTTTAGTCCTGGTTTGATCTCACTTTAGTCCTGGTTTAGTCCTGGTTTGATCTCACTTTAGTCCTGGTTTAGTCCTGGTTTAACCTGGTTTAGTCCTGGTTTAGACCTGGTTTAGTTTACCTGGTTTAGTCCTGGTTTATTAGTCCTGGTTTAGTCCTGGTTTACCTGGTTTAGTCCTGGTTTAGTCCTGGTTTAGTCCTGGTTTAGTCCTGGTTTTCCTGGTTTAGACCTGGTTTAGACCTGGTTTAGTCCTGGTTTAGTCCTGGTTTAGTTTAGTCCTGGTTTAGTCCTGGTTTAGTCCTGGTTTAGACCTGGTTTAGACCTGGTTTAGTCCTGGTTTACCTGGTTTAGTCCTGGTTTACCTGGTTTTCCTGGTTTAGACCTGGTTTAGTCCTGGTTTAGTCCTGGTTTAGTCCTGGTTTAGACCTGGTTTAGTCCTGGTTTAGTCCTGGTTTAGTCCTGGTTTAGTCCTGGTTTAGTCCTGGTTTAGTCCTGGTTTAGACCTGGTTTAGTTTACCTGGTTTAGTCCTGGTTTAGTCCTGGTTTAGTTCTGGTTTAGACCTGGTTTAGACCTGGTTTAGTCCTGGTTTAGTCCTGGTTTGATCTGTTTGGTGAAGTGTGCTTGTGCCGCAGAGACGAGGAGAAGAGCCGACAGATGTGGAACCTGTACGTGCAGAGAGAAAACAGCGCCATCGTGGGTAAGAACCACAACTTCACTTTACCGTGTCGCGGTTCGTCGCCTTCGTGTTTGTTTCTGTGGATACGTCGCTGCATTCGCGGGTTAAACATGTCTGGAATGTTTCACAGTGTGGCTTTAAACCTTTCTATGTAGACCAAGTTACACGGAGAGGCAGCCCCGCTTTTTTTTAGTTTCTCAACGTATTTTTGAGCCGTAAAACCACCTGTGATTGAATAAGTGTAAAGTGAAGTTGTTTAAAGTCACACTGCGGAACATTCCAGGCAGAGCAGCGACGTCTCCATAGAAACCAGCAGGTGATGGACCTTCAATCAAAAATGTACATAGTGCGAATTTAAAGAACTCACTTTATTTTATGCATTAGTCTTGTGGTTTTAATTCTGCTTGAATAAAAGTGAAAAACGCACTCAAATGAGCGATGTCCAAAAGCTTTAAAAAAAAAATGTATTAATGTTTCGGCAAAAAAAACTTCGCAGACATTTTTCTTGCTTTGGGCCACAGTTTACAAAATGGTTGCCAGGCCATGTACCCAGCAACCCAGAATATCTGACAAAGGATTTTTTAAAAACGTTAATTAAAAATAATTTTAAAAAGCTTTTGGACATCGGCCACCTGAGTTACGCATTTTTTCACTTTTATTTTGCTGTTCCTTGCATTTGCACCTCTACAAGAACTTTGGTGTGTGTTTTCTGTTTCATTTGACTTCATTCTCCTTTAAACACACTTTCGGTCGCCTTAGGAACAGTATTTCACATTTTCTACCTTAACTTTTAACTTAAGCGCATGTTTAGTCTAACCCCGTGGTGCTCGCCTCTCCGCAGACGTGTTCGGGGGCCAGTTGAAGAGCTGTCTGACGTGCTCCGTGTGCGGCTCCACCTCCACCATGTTTGACCCCTTCTGGGACCTGTCCATCCCCATCGCAAAGGTAACGCACGATGTTCAAAGTGTTTTTTGACTTGATTACTGCGTCTTTTTCAGGGTAAATCAGGTAGAACACCTTAAATCACCTTAAAGTCAATACTGTGCGTCGAAAGTGTTTTTGTATTTCCTCATGAAAACGTTAAAATACTGGTTTGTGTTTGTACAGAAGAGCTCCGGGGAGGTGACGCTCAGAGACTGTCTGAAGCTCTTCACCAAAGAAGACGTGCTGGACGGAGACGAGAGCCCGGTACGTCCACGTCCCCACTGTCCAAAATACTGCAGTCACCGGTTCTACGTGCTGACCGTGTCCTCTTCTGTCCCTCTGTCTGACTGTCCTCTCTTCTGTCCCTCTGTCCTCTCTTCTGTCCTCTCTTCTGTCCTCTCTTCTGTCCTCTCTTCTGTCCTCTCTTCTGTCCTCTCTTCTGTCCTCTCTTCTGTCCTCTCTTCTGTCCTCTCTCTGTCCTCTCTTCTGTCCTCTCCTCTGTCCTCTCCTCTGTCCTGTCTTCTGTCCTCTCTCTGTCCTCTGTCTTCTCTGTCCTCTCTTCTGTCCTCTCCTCTCTGTCTTCTGTCTCTCTTCTGTCCTGTCTTCTGTCCTCTCTTCTGTCCCTCTGTCCTCTCTTCTGTCCTCTCCTCTGTCCTCTCTGTCTCTCTTCTTTTATCCGCAGACGTGTGATCGCTGTAAAACCAGGAGGAAGTGCACAAAACGCCTCAGTATCCAGAGATTCCCTCGCATCCTGGTGCTCCGTATCCTTTACCCACCTGTGTTCACACCTGTACACACCTGTTCACACCTTTACTCAGCTGTTCACACCTGTACACACACCTTTACACACCTGTTCACACCTGTTCACACCTTTACTGACCTGTACACATTTTTACTCGCCTGTGTTCACACCTTTACTAGCCTGTGTTCACACCTGTACACACACCTGTTCACACCTTTACTGTTGTGTACACACCTTTACTCAGCTGTTCACACCTGTACACACACCTTTACACACCTGTTCACACCTTTACTGACCTGTACACATTTTTACTCATCTATGTTCACACCTATACTCGCCTGTGTTCACACCTTTACTAGCCTGTGTTCACACCTGTACACACACCTGTTCACACCTTTACTGTCCTGTACACACCTTTACTCAGCTGTTCACACCTGTACACACACCTGTACACACACCTTTACACACCTGTTCACACCTTTACTGACCTGTACACATTTTTACTCATCTGTGTTCACACCTGTACACACTCACCTGTGTTCACACCTGTACACACTCACCTGTGTTCACACCTGTACACACTCACCTGTGTACACACCTGTACTCACCTGGTTTTAAAGCCCACATTCAGGTGCGGGTTTTAATGAAACTGACGTGTTTTTATGGTTGTGGAGTCGTGTTTTTTCCTTGACTCTCTCGTCTCAGACCTGAAACGTTTTTCCGACTCCAACGTGCGCAGCTCCAAACTCTCCACGTACGTCGACTTCCCCCTGAAGGAGTTGGATCTGAGGGAATTCTCCGACACCAACGGTCAGTCACCAATAAAAAAATCTGTCAAAGCTCCAGTGTCGTAACCAAACCCACCCGTGAGCTGTTCCCTCCTCAAAAACAGACCTGGAGTTGTGTCTTTATTATCTGTCTAGATCCCCAAACCTCAAAACGCTCTGCTCCACTTTGTGACATCATGAAGTGGTAGTTTCCAAGTGAACAGCTTCTTTTACCTTTTTTAGTTCACTAGAAATCGGCAATTCCAGAGCTGAAATGATCCAAATGATTCAAGTGAAGATGTTTTTGGGGTTTTTTTTTTACATTAAAATAATAAAATTTACACACAAAAAAAGGAGTTTGTGCAAAAGACGTGAGCAGAAAATACAATAATAACAAATATTAAACAAAAAAATAGCAAATAAAAATCTGATTGGGGCTTGAAAATAAAACGAAGCGACTCAAAGAAGTGGATAAAATTGTGAATGCTCTTGCATATTTATTGTTCCAACCCTTGTTTAATGATGTCATGTAGACTCTGTGGAGCACTTCCTGAGTTTCCGCATGACATCACAAGGTGGCACAGTGTTTTTCGGTTTGAGAAAAGAACCCTGTAAACTCCTAAATGTGCAGGGTTTGTGTGTTTTAAACATGTGCGAAAGAAGCAAAACACAACTCCAGGTCCGTTTGTGCCGAGGAAACATTAGAACAGAGAGAAAGGTGTAATGTGGGGACCTTTAACACACTGTGACATTTTAGTTCGTTTTTCACTTTTCTTCTGTAAAGTGCTCTTCTGTTTCTCACGGTGACATTGTCGTTTGTTCCAGAGCGGGCGGTGTACAACCTGTTCGCGGTGTCCAATCACACGGGCAGCGCTCTGGGGGGGCACTACACGGCCTACTGCAAACACTCCGGCCTGGGCGAGTGGTACAGCTACAACGACACCAGGTACCCACAATGCACCTCACCTCTGCCACGTCACCGTAACACACTCTGAAACCTGTCGTAGACTCTTTATTTATACAGTTAATACACGGTGTCCCAAAAAAATCATTTTAAAAGCAATTATCTCGAAAACTACTAAGTCTAGCTCAGTTTTTTCAAGTTTATTATGGGACTTTGTTTGCCAGTTTTTCCAAATTTTTGCATTGAAGGCAGATTCCAAAACGCAAAATGAAAAAAAAACAAACAAACGGCTCAACCTGAAAACAGAACAAAAATAAAACATTAAATATAAAATCTTGATCTGTTTCTAAATATTCTGCGAAAATTTTAGATTATTTCAACAAGAATTGTCAAAATTATTGGTCTGCGTTTTTGTCAAATTTTTATGTCAAATTTTTTTGGGACACCCTGTATTTTAGACTTAGACTTGTAGGGAGTATTATCTGTTACATAAGGGTGAGTTGTTGTACAGTTGTAGGGAGTATAAGGGTATCTGTGTTACATAAGAGGTGAGTGTGTTTGTACAGTTGTAGGGAGCATTATCTGTGACATAAGGGTGAGTTGTTGTACAGTTGTAGGGAGTATTATCCGTGTTTCATTGTCATGACGACCTGTGTTGTTTGCGTTGTCGTTCAGGGTGAACCCGATCTCCTCCAGTCAGGTCCGCAGCAGTAACGCCTACGTCCTGTTCTACGAGCTCAGCCCCTCCCTGCACAACAAGTACCAGACCTGCCGACTATAGGACCGGACCCGGACCGGACCCGGACCGGACCCTCCCAGACCCAACAGAACCCAACAGAACCCCACCGAACCCAACTGGACCCAACTGGACCCAACCGGACGCTTTATAACAACCAAAGACTGTATTTATTATTTTGAATTGGCAGGTCTAAACCAGGTCTAAACCAGGTCTAAACCAGGTCTAAACCAGGTCTAAACCAGGTCTAAACCAGGACTAAACCAGGTCGAAACCAGGTTGAATAAAAGTGAGATGGCCGATGTTCAAAAGCTTTTATTTAATTTTTAATTAATTAATTTTATTTTTTACATTTTGGAAAGAAAAAAAACCCTTCGTGTTTTTTGAAGCTTTGGTTTTTTGAATTTTTATTTTTTATTTTTTGTGTACTGTGGTCCAAAGCAAGGCTGTTTTTTGTTTTGGTTTTTTTGCTGGAAAAAAATAAGCTTTTGGACATCGGCCGCCTGAGTGAGCTACGCATTTTTCACTTTTATTTTGATGTTCCTTGCATTTGCGGCTCTACAAGAACTTTGTGCGTTTTCTGTTTTGTTTGAAACCAGGTCGACTGTTGGTCTGAACCGTCCACATGATCCTGGATTTTTTATTTCACGATTTTGTCCCTAAATCAAGATCTGAATGTAAATATCAGACCAATCAGGCGCCTTCTTTCCTCGAGGTCCCTCCCACTGGCGTTAGGAACAGGTTTGATTGACAGCTTTAACAGCGTCGCTCCTGATTGGCTCTTTGGTTGCTATGATACTCGCGGTCGGAATTCCGAATATGGAAGTGCGCTCCGTAAACCGCCGGCGGAGCTTCATTTTGAGCCGAACGCACGTTAGATTTAAATTTTTTTACTTGAAATCTTCACGTTTTTAGACACGTTTCTTTTTTGTTTTTTGTTTTTTGACCCGACCCCTTCCTGTCAGTCTCGGATCAAAACTACGGACAAGTCACGGAAACGGCGCCATCTCCTGGACAGACGCAGCCGTTACACACAAGACTCAAGGACAAAAAAAAAAGCAATATTTTTTTATTTATATGTGAACTTTTGTATCGGGTGCAATGAAGAAGAATGAAGAGTCTGACTGCAACGTTTAATTTATAATTTATTTAATTTTAATGTAAAAAAAAGTGTTTGAACAAAGTGTGTGGAGAGAACGAAGTGTGTTTTTGTACAGTATTTATGAGCTGTGCTGTGAACGGACGACGTGTGCGCGTGTGTGCGTGTGCGCGTGTGTGCGCGTGCGTGTGTGCGCGTGTGTGCGCGTGTGTGTGTGTGTGTGTGTGCGCGTGCGTGTGCGCGTGTGTGCGCGTGTGTGCGCGTGTGTGTGCGCGTGTGTGTGCGCGTGTGTGTGTGTGTGCGCGCGCACGTGCCGCGAGTTTTCCACTAAATTATTGAATAAATATTTTTATCAAACTTGTGTGTTTTTTATTCAAGCAAAATTAAGATGATAAAGCGACAGAAGCACAAAACCAGGTCTAAACCAGGTCTAAACCAGGTCTAAACCAGGTCTAAACCAGGACTAAACCAGGTCTACACCAGGTCTAAACCAGGACTAAACCAGGTCTAAACCAGGTCTAAACCAGGACTAAACAGGACTAAACCAGGTCTACACCAGGTCTAACCAACCAGGACTAAACCAGGTCTAAACCAGGTCTACACCAGGTCTAAACCAGGTCTAAACCAGGACTAAACCAGGACTAAACCAGGTCTACACCAGGTCTAAACCAGGACTAAACCAGGTCTAAACCAGGACTAAACCAGGTCTACACCAGGTCTAACCAGGTCTAAACCAGGACTACACCAGGTCTACACCAGGTCTACACCAGGTCTAAACCAGGACTAAACCAGGTCTAAACCAGGTGTACACCAGGTCTAAACCAGGTCTAAACCAGGACTAAACCAGGACTAAACCAGGTCTAAACCAGGTCTAAACCAGGTCTAACCAGGTAACACCAGGTCTACACCAGGTCTTAACCAGGACTACACCAGGTCTAAACCAGGTCTACACCAGGTCTAAACCAGGACTAAACCAGGACTAAACCAGGTCTACACCAGGTCTACACCAGGTCTTAACCAGGACTACACCAGGTCTAAACCAGGTCTACACCAGGTCTTAACCAGGACTACACCAGGTCTAAACCAGGTCTACACCAGGTCTACACCAGGTCTAATCTTGGACTTGAGAGAGAGTGTAAAGTGTGATCTGGCGACAGCTGCACTGAGCCTCGTGCGGTGGAGCTCTGGTCCTGGCGTGATCCTTTCGTCTGTGGTCACCTGACAGTCTACGCGGGCGCACCTTCGGGCCAGTCCTGACAAACAGTCCTGGTTTAGTCCTGGTTTAGACCTGGTTTAGTCCTGGTTCAGACCTGGTTTAGACCTGGTTTGAGATCTAGTTTAGACCTGGTTTTAGTCCTTGTTTTAGTCCTGGTTTAGACCTGGTTTAGTTTCCAGCAATGAGTGGAATTACTGAAAAAAAAAAGAATAAAAAAAGGGATTTAGCCCAAAATGTGAAAACAGGAAAATCCCGCTGTGTAATCAGTTACTCCCAACACTGTTTATATTACTTGTACTATATACTTGTACTTTACTTGTATGTACATTATAAACATGAGATGATCTGGAGGGGTGTTGGCCAGTCACAAGAGCAGACACAGATCATTTTAGAGCTGCTCCCACAGCTCGTGTTAGAATAAACATCACAAATAAATAAACGAAATCTGTGTGAACATGAACAAGTCAGAACAACAGCCCCATCTACTGGACACACACAGACACTGCACTGACACGAGGCACAAGGGCAAAACACACTCTGAAAATACTGAAAGAATAATAATAAATAAATAAATAAATACATTAATAATAATAATAAATAAATAAATAAATAAATAAATAATAATAATAAATAATAATAATAATAATAAATAAATAAATAAATAAATAAATAAATAAATAATAATAATAATAATAATAATAATAATAATAATAAAGTGTTTTTATTCAAACTAAATGGAAAAAATAAGACGTGAAAGTGACAGAAACATAAAACCAGAACTAAACCAGGTCTAAACCAGGTGTAAACCAGGTCTAAACCAGGACTAAACCAGGACTAAACCAGGTCTAAACCAGGTCTAAACCAGGTCTAAACCAGGACTAAACCAGGACTAAACCAGGTCTAAACCAGGTCTCAACCAGGTCTAAACCAGGACTAAACCAGGACTAAACCAGGTCTAAACCAGGTCTAAACCAAGACTAAACCAGGACTAAACCAGGTCTAAACCAGGACTAAACCAGGACTAAACCAGGTCTAAACCAGATTTAAACCAGATTTAAACCAGGTCTAAACCAGGTCTAAACCAGGTCTAAACCAGATTTAAACCAGATTTAAACCAGGTCTAAACCAGGTCTAAACCAGGACTAAACCAGGACTAAACAAGGTCTAAACCAGGACTAAACCAGGTCTAAACCAGGAATAAACCAGGTCTAAACCAGGAATAAACCAGGTCTAAACCAGGTCTAAACCAGATTTAAACCAGATTTAAACCAGATTTAAACCAGGTCTAAACCAGGTCTAAACTAGGTCTACACCAGGACTAAATCAGGACTAAACCAGGTCTACACCAGGACTAAATCAGGATTAAACCAGGTCTACACCAGGTCTAAACCAGGTCTACACCAGGTCTAAACCAGGTCTACACCAGGACTAAATCAGGACTAAACCAGGTCTACACCAGGACTAAATCAGGATTAAACCAGGTCTACACCAGGTCTAAACCAGGTCTAAACCAGATTTAAACCAGGTCTAAACCAGGACTAAACCAGGACTAAACCAGGTCTAAACCAGGTGTAAACCAGATTTAAACCAGGTCTAAACCAGGACTAAACCAGGTCTAAGTTGCTCTTGTTTTACAGAATCGCCTCACATGATCCATTATTTTTATTATTATTATAAAAACTGTGTCTGGTTTGGATCTTGCCCACTTTTCCATGTTTTAGTGCGAGCTGCGTTGGTGCGTTTGTGACGAGGAGAATCCGTCAGAACAGATCAGAGACTCTGGGATTTGAGCCGTAAAATACTGAGAATCTGAAGCGAGCCTCGGTGCGTCCCGGGGCCGTGTGCAGAGGCGCCGCTCGGGCTGGGGCCCATCCAGCTCCGTGTTGACTTAAGCGGCTTATTGCACGTCGTAAAACACCAGGATCTGCGGCTGAAGTGCAGCGACGTGACCCGAGAGAGTCTGACCCGAGAGAGTCTGACCCGAGAGAGTCTGACCCGACCTGAAGCTGAAGCAGAAACGACGCTCTGCTGGTTTTTTTCAGTGGCAAAAATGACAACAAAATATAAAGTTTAACAAAATACAATAATCAACATAAAAACTAAACACAAACTCACATGATCAATGAAATAAATGTTCAATAAAACAAACCACATCACTAGACCCACTTATATTCAGTGTTGGGGAGTTAAGTAATCAGAGTACAAATGATGAGTAACTGTATTCAGTTACAGTTACTGTTTCAGTGAGTGGCAATTGGATTACAGTTACTTTGTTGAAATAAATGGATTACACAGAGGGATTTTCACATTTTGGGCTAAATCCCCCCACCCTTTTTTTTTTCTCTGTTATTTCACTCATTGCTGGAAACTAAACCAAGCATCGCGGACACGCCCCCTTCACTCGACACACGGAACGTCACATCACTAGTCACAGGTAAAGGTGGTAAGTTCAGCAAATGAATAGATATAACCAAATAAAATGAATTTAAAGCAACTGTGTGAATGTGATCAATTGAACTAAACAAAGACTAAATAAAACAAACCCGGGACAGTCTCATTTAGCTGTTTAGTTGATTGATGTAAATGAAATAAAGTGAAAAAATGGGGACAAAGGCCGTCTTTGTCACAGATGTTTTAAATATAAAGTTTTGTATGGACTTGCCCACCTCTGTTACAGGAGCCACACAGACGCTCCACACTCACACAAACTGTCCCAGTCAGAGGAACTAAACTTTGGAACATTCTCCCGTTATCAATAAGAGAAACTCCAACACTGGACACTTTCACATCCCACTTGAAACAGGCTAAAGGAAAAACAGACGTGTGACACTTTCAGTTTAAATTTGTGTTGTTTCCTGCCGAGGGACGACAGACGGAAATGAACATTTTTGCTCTAATCTGTCACATTTACACTGCAGAGTTGTAGATGTCCATTAATATTCACTGTCCCTATTCAATAAATAAATCAATAAATACATTTATAATTTAAATTCCTTTTCTTATGTTATTTTTTCCCAATTTTTTAATAAACATTTTTAGTCACCGTACTTAACTAATATTATTTTCACCATCATCATTTCCTTTCATCATCTTTTACTATTTATAAAAAAAAATTAAAACCCCCTTTATTATTATTATTATTATTATTATTATTATTATTATTATTATTATTTTATTATTATTATTTATTTTATTTTATTTTATTAGTTATTATTTATTTTTACTATAAATTATTAATTGTCTGTGTTTTAACTTATATTTCCCTGATTAACTCTCTGTCTTTAGGTTGATACTTTAAAACCTTATGATTAAATATTTTAAAATTTCTGATATTTTATTTTAAACTGTAAAACAGATGAACATATCGATGCGCAGATGAATTTTAGCCCAGGTGTTTAAGAACTTCTCATCTCTTTTTATACTTTTTTCCTCTTTGTTCGTTTCAGTTTTAAATCGTTCTCAGGTTCAGTTTTAGTAAATACCTTTTTTTTTTTTTTATTGTTAATATTAAGTGAGAATCAATTTTTAGCTTTTAAAATGAAATGTTTTCCTAGGGTTATAATTAAATTAATCCGTTAGTATTTAAAGAGTGTTAGTGTTAGTTTGTCCATTATTTATTTACCATTATATTTAAATGTGTTAGTATGTCCATTATATTTAAATGTGTTAGTTTGTCCATTGTCCAATATTATATATTTAAATGTGTTAGTTTGTCCATTATATTTTAGTGTTTTCATGTATCTGTGTGTCTGTATGTAAAATATTGTTATTCTTCAGCTAATATTGACTCAAGATAAATGGGCTCATAATATTTATTAATGATTAAACGTGAAAAGCAGCTTCTCCTGAACACAGAGCACATCAAGAGGCCCCGGCCACACCGCCCGCCGGGCCCTCGCGCCCGCCCGCGCCGCCCTCGCGCCCGCCGCCGGGCCCTCGC